TACTCGGTATTGCTAGCACAAAGTCACAAGTCATCGTGGCCGAGGGCTTGAGCGTGCTTGCCCTGTTCAAATTGTTGATCACGCTAGATAATATGCTCTTTCCCAGAAGCTGTAACTAAGGTCTGCTCAGGGGAGTTGCAATATAAACCACAGGTGGGCTCTGTGGGTGCTGAATAAACATAAATGTGCCTGAGTGTTGTTTTTATTAGGGATTTGCAATATCCTCGAATATGAGTGGTTGTGCACATATTAATGAAAATCAAATTTTAATTAATAGTTTTAAGTATAATTTACTATCAGTTTTTAATTTGTTATAATTAGTACAGTGTTTCAGCCGTTGTGACCTTTGGTTGCCGTTTGGTGTCTTGGAACCCAAATATACTCCATAGAATTTTGTTGAACTGGACAGTTTATTTAATGTACTGGAGTAGATTGTTGTCATTCTTTTGTCCATATCTGAAGATATCTTGCCATGTTCTTTTAATACAACTTGATTATTGCTTGTCCTGTTTCCAATGAGTTTGACCCTGTGTGGTTTCAATCTCAGGGTTAGGTGGTACTGGTTATAAAAATATTACCTTCTAGAAATACTCTGGCCAACTGCTTTTGTTATTGGTACATATATATATATATATAGAGAGAGAGAGAGAGTAAAGGTAACAAATCCATTGGTATATAATCCACGTGAATCCTAGTAATATAAGATATTAAAACTGATTTACAAAAAGAGGTCAATGTATTTATTATTACAGAGCAAAGAATTAATAAGCAATAAAATCCAAAATCACCTCATATGGAGAATAGCCTATTTCGGCAGACGAAGATATTGGTTGTTTGTCTTATCAACCCCAGTGTGGACTAAATTTCTATTTCTGACACAAACCCATTCCACACCTGGGTAGATAAGACTGGCGGCCAATATCTTCGTCTGCCGAAATAGACTGTTCCCCATATGAGGTGATTTTGGATTTTATTGTTTATTAATTATATATATATATATATAGTGTGTGTGTGTGTGTATTTGTAAAATATAACAGACAATGAATGTCTATTATGTTTTATCATGGGTCTTTCCAAGCATCATATAATGGTTTTAGTTTCAAGAGACAATAAAGAAAAAAACTGTGCAACATTAGGATATATCTTTATTATATTGGTCATCGATCTAAGCTTTCGACTCACATGAGCCATCATCATAGTGGTTATATGGACATTATATTTGACGGCGAACATCTCTTCATAAACACGGGGTCATACTCAAAGATATAATTTATTTATTCCTCGTTTTTGATTCAGAAACATAGGGTCGTATTATGCTCAGGTACCTAATTTATTCCCAGTTTTTAGCTTCAGAAACATAAGGGGGATTATACACTTGGACATAATTTATTCGTGGTATTATACTCAAGGGCGTAATTTATTCCCTCTACATAATCATCGGGTCGTATTATGTACAAGGACGTAATTTATTCCTTGATTTTAGCTTCAGAAACATGGGGGTTATATTATACTCAGGTACGTAATTTATTCCCAGGTTTTAGCTTTAGAAACATGAGGATGTATTATATACGCAAAGACATAATTTATTCACTGCTTTTAGCTTCGTAAACAAGGGGTCGTACGTAATTGGTTCCCTGATTTTAGCTTCGTAAATATTGAATCATTACTCAATGTCGTAATTTCATTCCTATTTTGATCTTCTGAAACATGGGGTCGTATTACTTAAGGACGTAATTTATTCCCTCTTTTTTAACTTCAGAAAGACGGCTTTGTATTTATGCTTAAGGACGTGATTTATTTCCGGTTTTAGCTTCATAAGCAAGGTATCGTATTTATACTCATGGATGGACGTAATTCGTAATGTTATAGACAAGCGTATGGTTGCAAGAAGGAAATACGACAACAGCAAAAATAGATTTACGTGATTTATTTCGATAGGAACGTGTGAGTTTGGGACAGCTACCTTGTGGTATAGTTCATAAGCCGGCTTCCGATCTGGGTTGATTTCTCATAGTAGTTCTCACTGGTTGGTGTGGCGCTCCTCCCGCTGACTGCCCAGACGGACCGTGACAGATCTCTTCCCTGGCCTACTGTTGACTATATTTAGTCACCCCCCCCACACACACGTAGGCATCATGTGGCACAAGGCCGGTTTAACGTGGGATCTCCGAGCCCATGGGCTCGGCCAAAAATATGCCCATTGAACCCGTATAAACGGGTTCAGGGTCGGTTTACCTCCCCGAAATAGAATCCGCCCTTCGGCGTAGCTTCCTTCGGGTTCCTCGACGCCCGAAGGGAGAGAGTTCAACCGATCAGCCGGTCAGAAAGTACTGGGTCGACTGCCAGTACTTCCCCGTGTGATCCCTTTTATAGCGTTTTTTATATGGCTTAACAGACTCGAAAACGACGCGAGTATAATTAGGAGGGAAGCATTTTTATTGGTCGAAAAATAGAAACACTTTAAAATATTATTTTAATTTTCGGCCGGAGCTCGGGCCTATGCGCAGACGACGATAATGGTCATTTTGTGACGGGGCCTTGTCCCGTTCACATCCGGCTCTCACTCTTGAGTATGTTAGTTTGTTTGCCTGCAAATCAGCCGAGATAAGTCTTATTTTATTTTATAACAGTAATTTATTCCCTGTTTGTACCTTCATAAACATTGCGCAGTATTTTATTCAGGGACGTAATTTATTCTACGTTTTTAGTTTCAGAAACATTCGGTCGTATTATTATATTCAACGACGTATTCCATGTTTTTAGCTTCTGAAACAGGGAGCCGTAGTATTATACAGGAGGACTTGATTTATACCCTGTTTTTAGCTTCGTATACATTGGGTCATACACAAGTACGTAATTTATTCCCAGTTTTTAACTTCATAAACGCTGGGTCGTATTAATTATACTCAGGACGTAATCTATTCCTTTTTTTTTTTACTTTTTATCTTCATAAACATGGGGTTGCATATATACTCAAGGACGTAATTTATTCCCCGTTTTTAGCTTCATAACCATGTGTTCATATTACTCAAGAACGTAATTATTGGCAGTTTTTAGCTTCAGAAACATGAGCCCGTATCATACTCAGGGGCGTAATTTATTCCCTGTTTTTAGCTTGTGAAACATGGAGCCGTCTTATACTGAAGGACGTAATTTATTCCCCGTCTTCAGCTTCATATACATGGGGTCGTTTTACACTGGAAGGCGTAATAATTTATTCCCCGTTTTTAGCTTCATTAGTAGTAAACAAAACAAGATCTAGATTTAAAATCAAATGCTAAGAACTGACTCATTGATTTTCTTAGAAATTAAAAAGATGGAATTTACAAACTTTGCTTAACACATACGCAAAAGCGAATCCAAAACAAAACTCGTGAAATTTCACACCTTGATGCAAAATGTTTTTCGGCCAATAGAAAACTAGGAAACCTTTAAAAACAAAATTCAAATAATCTTCATTTCTCAGAAACAAATTCTTTCACGGACCTTTTCGCGAGCCGACGCGAAGTTTGTTCGTCGTCCATTGGAAAGGCCCGAATCATATCCGGGGGTGAATTCCAAAATGTTCCAAAATGACCTTTTCAAGCCCCAAAACAAAATAAAAGACGGGCAAATTCGCCTGTCACCAGAGAGAAGGAGACGAGCGTATTAACACGCCCCTTGACATTAACATGGGGTCGTATTTATACTCAAGGACATTTGTACCCCATTTTTTAGCTTCAGAAACATGAGCTCGTATCATACTCAAGGACGTAATTTATTCTCTCTTTTCAGCTTCATAGACATGGGGTCGTTTTACACTGAAAGGTGTAATTTATTCCCCGTCTTTAGCTTCATCAAGTTGTATTTTACTGTTTTACACAAGAAAATACAATATCTATCATCATGTCTTTTGTCCTTTCAAACGTGTATCTGACATTAAATAACCAAACCTTGCGAGCTTTGTCATTAAATTAAACCATTTTTAACCTAACAAATAACTACCATTTTAGAGGTATGTTCCTAATTCAGCCTTTCCATAACTTTTTGTCCTTAAAGACTCTAGGTGCATTTTGCAGTATTCCGGGAGAGTGAAGGTTTTTCCTTGAAATAATTATGTATAGAAATAAAAAACATTTAATCTGTAGGTGTAATATCTCGTATGTAGTACATAAGTCCAAATTCACCAGCTAATCTGTAAAAATGTTTTACCTCGTTACTAAAGAATCATAAAGTTTTGCGTAATACTTATTGAAATTGAAGTCTTTTTTTTTTTAACTCATTTCGGATTTTTTTTTTGTTTGTTTTTGATAGCTGCCTTTATAGGTATATCCGTTAAATTTGGAACTGTACTTATTTGAATCAATCATTTCATTTTTTATAGTAGAGGATTTTTTCTTAAAACGCAACAAATACACGTATCACCTTCCGTGGGTGAAAACTGGTATTTTATATTTAATGACAGTTCATTTACTTTTCATTTTTGTGAATAATCTACTTCGATCACTAGCAGAATTTGTTCAAAAAACAAAGATATTTAAATTTGCCTGAGTACGGTTTGTTTATTTCTATTTATGTGGAAGCCACACATCAAAGAGACTAACATTACCATGTTGGTGAAAATAATCTTCAATGCTTGATTTAGATATTTTTAGTCTGTTGACTATCTTCTGCTGCATAGAACATCGATTATTCTCATGTTTAAATTTTGTTTAATAAACTTATGTGGAAGCCACACATCAAAGAGACTAACATATTCACATGCAAATAACCAAGTTAGTGAAAATGATTTTCAGTGCTTGATTTGGATATTTTGAGTCTGTTGAGTATCTTCTGCACCATATATCATAATAAATTGCAGAGATGTAGAGAAAATTCTCTCATCGCAAAATAGTTTGAGTATTGCAGATTTTACAAGACTGTACTGACTAATAGGTGAATATAGGGCATTTCCTGGTTGGTGGAGCTGCCTGCTATGAAAAGTAGCTGTTGAAATTGTGGCCAGTTGAAATACATCAGACTCAAATCTCAATCACTGACACAATGTTGATCATTTCAACCTCCTCGTTAGGTCCATAGGTAGATTTGAATAGAAAAAAAAACGATTTATAAGAAATAAAAAGATAGATATGAACAGAGATAGATAGATAGATAGATAGATAGATATGAACAGAGATAGATGAACAGAAACAGATAGATATAAACAGAAAGAAATCGATATGAACAAAAAATAGATAGATCGATAGATTGGAACAAAATGAAATAGATATGAACAGAAAAATAGATACGAACAGAAAGAAAGATAGATATAGATATAAAAACAGAAAAAAAGTAGAAAGATAGTATGAACAGATGTAAATTGAAAGAGAGCTATGTGAACTAGTGAACACAAAGAAATAGAAAGTTATCTATGAACAGAAATAGATAGATAGATAGATAGATAGATATGAACAGAAAGAAATATAGAATGATAGATAGATAGATATGAACAGAAAGAATATAGAATGATAGATAGATAGATATGAACAGAAAGAAATATAGAATGATAGATAGATATGAACAGAAAGAAATATAGAATGATAGATATGAACAGAAAGAAATATAGAATGATAGATAGATAGATAGATATGAACAGAACGAAATATAGAATGATAGATAGATAGATATGAACAGAAAGAAATATAGAATGATAGATAGATAGATAGATAGATATGAACAGAAAGGAAAATAGAATGATAGATAGATAGATAGAATAAAAAGAAATATAGAATGATAGATAAAATAGATATGAACAGAAAGAAATATAGAAATGATAGATAAATAGATATGAACAGAACGAAATATAGAATGATAGATAAATATAAACAGAACGAAATATAGAATGATAGATAGATAGATATGAACAGAAGAAATATAGAATGATAGATAGATAGATATGAATAAAAAAAATATAGAATGATAGATAGATAGATAGATATGAACAGAAAGAAATATAGAATGAAAGATAGATAGATAGAATGAACAAAAGAAATATAGAATGATAGATGAATGATATGAACAGAAAGAAATATAGAATGATAGATATGAAACAGAAAGAAATATAGAATGATAGATAGATGAATATGAAATAGAAAGAAATATAGAATGATAGATAGATAGATATGTGAAAAAGAAATATAGAATGATAGATAGATAGATATGAACAGAAAGAAATATAGAATGATAGATAGATAGATATGAACAAAAAGAAATATAGAATGATAGATAGATAGATATGAACAAAAAGAAATATAGAATGATAGATAGATAGATATGAACAAAAAGAAATATAGAATGATAGATAGATAGAATGATAGATAGGTATGAACAAAAAGAAATATAGAATGATAGATAGATAGATATGAACAGAAAGAAATATAGAATGATAGATAGATAGATATGAACAGAACGAAATATAGAATGATAGATAGATAGATATGAACAGAACGAAATATAGAATGATAGATAGATATGAACAGAACGAAATATAGAATGATAGATAGATAGATATGAACAGAACGAAATATAGAATGATAGATAGATAGATATGAACAGAAAGAAATATAGAATGATAGATAGATAGATAGATATGAACAGAAAGAAATATAGAATGATAGATAGATAGATAGATATGAACAGAAAGAAATATAGAATGATAGATAGATAGATATGAACAAAAAGAAATATAGAATGATAGATAGATATGAACAGAAAGAAATATAGAATGATAGATAGATATGAACAGAAAGAAATATAGAATGATAGATAGATAGATATGAACAAAAAGAAATATAGAATGATAGATAGATAGATATGAACAAAAAGAAATATAGAATGATAGATAGATAGGTATGAACAAAAAGAAATATAGAATGATAGATAGATAGAATGATAGATAGGTATGAACAAAAAGAAATATAGAATGATAGATAGATAGAGATAGATAGATATGAACAAAAAGAAATATAGAATGATAGATAGATAGAGATAGATAGATATGAACAAAAAGAAATATAGAATGATAGATAGATAGAATGATAGATAGATAGGTATGAACAAAAAGAAATATAGAATGATAGATAGATAGAGATAGATAGATATGAACAAAAAGAAATATAGAATGATAGATAGATAGATAGATAGATATGAACAGAAAGAAATATAGAATGATAGATAGATAGATAGATAGATAGATATGAACAGAAAGAAATAATGATAGATAGATAGATATGAACAGAAAGAAATAATGATAGATAGATAGATATGAACAAAAAGAAATATAGAATGATAGATAGATAAGTAAGTATGAACAGAAAGAAATATAGAATGATAGATAGAGCGATATGAACAAAAAGAAATATAGAATGATAGATAGATAGATAGATAGATATGAACAGAAAGAAATATAGAATGATAGATAGACGTAGGTAATATAATATAGTCACAATAAAAATAAAAACAGAAACGAAATTGTGTTTTCATCATTCGTCTTGCTTTTCTGCAATTAGCCAGCGATAAAATAAATTAAAACAAAAAAAAAATCAATCCGGTATTCCATTGAAATTGATTCGATAGCCACATCCATCAACTTGCATTTCAAAATAAAAAAAAAATAAAATAAAAAAAACCCTATAGATCTTGTATATCGTACGCACTCCAACTGCCTGTTACTCTGCTTCTGTCACTCGGCAAAACTCGGCGTCACTTCCGAAAACGACCGAACAAACCCCGACTGCACACACTCACTTCACCAACTCGCATCTTTAAAGGCAGGACGACTGATTGTGAGTGACTGTATGCGAACGCAACCACCTGCCGGGGTCTATTTAAACCAAATGTCTATTATACATTTGGAAGAAGGAAAGGAAATTTACACACTTTTATATCCTTGAATCCACCACTTATTCTGAAAAAAGAAAGGATAAAAGAAAAAAAAAACGCAAGAAAAAAAAATGTAGACCCCGATGGAAGAGAGATAAAAAAAAAAAAAACAAATTCAACTCGCCTCATTCATCGTAAAAAAAGGTTTTTAAAAATTACTATTTTATTTTATAATTTATTTATTTTAACTTATATACCCACGAATGATACCGTCATCAATAATATTGTGATTCAATAATAGTTAATATTAATTGTTTTTTACTTTTCGAATTTCTGAAAAATTAACCCTTCTCGAGTGTGTTGTTTAAAAAAGATTAAAAATTACTTTTATTACCTGAAAACAAAATTTTTATGTAGCCTTAATTAATTTGTCCATGTAAATAAACCTGTAAATAAATAAATAAATATTACACACCTGAGAAGCCGAATTATTTTTTATTTTATTTGTAAATAAATAATGTTATGACTTCTCTTTTTTATTCATCTATTTTTTTAAATTAAGGTCCGAGAAAAGATAAACATTTTTTTTTTCAAATTTAAAACCCAGATTTAAAAAAGAAATAGGTAAAATAACAAATTTAACTTCTTTAAAATTTAAAAAATAAAAATGTCCAGATAAAAATAAAAATGTGTGTGTGGGTCTATTTCAGGTAAAAACATTTTAAAAAAAAACAACAAAAACTTCATATTATTATTTAAGAAAATTAAAAAAAAAAAAAAAAAAAAAACGGAATTAATTTAAAGTTTGAAATGACTTCCCGATCGCGAATGATGATCGAGAACACTAGCAATTCGGGTTCGAACCCGACTCTCGGCACCTTTATTTCTAACTCTTTTCCAATCATAAAAACATGCAAAAACAACCCCAAACTTAAAAGTAAAACACTTTCCTTGGGATTGTTGTCATCTTTTTATTACCGTCTTTCGTTGTTTTCAAAAACATATCTTCGTCACTCAACAAAGTCCACACGTTGTCGTTATAATAACAACAATAATAATAATTACATTTATTTGTTATCTTTGTTGTTCGTTATGGCCTTATATATTACTAAGAGTTGTACTGCGCAGGAAACTAAGAGTCGCGCCCTTAAACTGGACATAAGCAAATACCACAATTATGAAGAGATGACAAAATTCTTAAAAGACTGTGTCGAACTATTTCCGCATATCGCTCAATTACACAGCATTGGCACAAGTTCGCAAAATCGGACCTTGTGGGCCCTGGAAATATCCGAGTCTGTAGGGGTAGAAACCCCTGGCAAACCAAATTTTAAATACGTCGCGAATATGCACGGGAATGAAGCCGTGGGCCGAGAACTACTACTAAAACTTGCCCAATATCTTCTTATGAATTACAAACGATCTGGCACGGACCGGGTCACTCAAATTTTAAAAAGCACTTCTGTATACTTGATGCCTTCCATGAATCCCGATGGTTTCGAAATAGCCAAAGAGCGTGACTGTGCTGGAACTATTGGTAGATCCAACGCCCATGGGGTCGATTTAAACCGAAATTTTCCTGACCAGTTTGACGTTAATAAAACGCTTGGACTTAATATAACTGAACCGGAGACCCAGGCCATGTTGGATTGGCTAGCCAAAAAACATTTTGTTCTTTCAGCCAACCTCCATGGTGGAAGTGTGGTTGCTGTATATCCGTTTGACGACGCCATCCCTCATGAATCTTCTGGTCATTACAGTAAGTCCCCCGATGATGCTGTATTCCAGTACTTGGCCCATGTGTATGCCGACCATCACAAAACAATGCACAAAGGAAACATCTGTCATTATGATAATTTTACGAAAACCCGTGGAATTACAAATGGTGCTTATTGGTATGACGTACCCGGTAAGTAATTTATTTAAATTAATATTTTAATTTTTATTCATTTATCTTTCTTTTTTAGCTGCAGAACATGAAATGACTAAGCAATATTGGTGTATTGAATTTATTAGCGATTTTTAAGTTGCTTTGACTGATTCTTGAATCATTCCAATCATGGGAAAGGCATGACCTCTAAGTTCCCTGTAACACTATTTTACCAACAGTAATTATTTATATATTATTGGTCCTGATCTGGCAGCTCGGCTACGGTCACTTTTCTACTGCCATAAAGTTATCTCTCTCTGTTTTTTCTATAAATACTTTCATGGTAATTGTTCAGAGGAGCTCTCCACTATGGTACGTAGACTTTTTGAATTTAAGCACAGTATTAAACTGGCATCTAGATCTCATCAATTTACAGTTGAGCTGGCTAGATGTAACCATAAATTCTAGGCTAACAGTCTCTTTTCTCACACTTCTCACTTGTGGAACTCACTTCTGGCTTCAAACTTTCCAGTCAACTTTAATCTGCAAAAATTTAAATGCAATGTCAATCACTATCTACTGTCCTCTTGATTACTCTTTCCTCTTCCAGCTCGTTATTATTAATGTTTCTGTTCCTAATTCTTTCACACCTTTTAACCCCCTTGTGTCTTAGTGGCTTTATGGCCTTGCATGGGGTGATACTGATTCTAAAAATAGATATATTTTTCTTGAAATTTATTTCTTTTAGATATGTGGGTAGCATAATAATGGTTATCAGTGAGCAGTGTTCATATTCCAGCTGTATTGGTTTTGTTCTCTGTAGAAGTGATTTGGAGAAAGCCAAGAATCCAACTTTTCTTTCTCCTCGACCTCCTCCTATAGGTTAATCGGGCAGAATCTAACCTTGGATAGCAGCCAGTCTAAGAGAAGAAAAACTAATTGTAGATGTATTGATGATTGCAGAATGGTGACTCTTCAATTTTCAGCTTTTAGCCTCTCATTATTTTCAGGATTTTCTGTCATGAAAAGCGCCAGCTATGGGTTAAATAGTAAGACAGACTGGACTTTTCAGATTTGGTTGGTAACTAGTGTAGGTGAAGGACAAGTCTGAATTCAAAATTGTATGTAACCCTGGTGAAATATACTATGAAGCTAACAAGAGGATAGCAGAGTTTATAATGACTCTATGACAAGGTTTTTCTTGCCCCATGCACCCTTTTCACTATAATTCAAAATTCTTCCAAGAGTGCCCAACTCAGAAAGTGCATTCTGAATAATATGCATATGTTATTGAATATCTTCATTCTTTTCCATATTAGTAGATATACATCTGTTTATATTTCTGAGATACTGTTCATCTCAAGGTTCTCAACAAAATCCAGAGATTGATATGCAATACAATAGGTCATGATCTGGCATCTCATCTACAGTCACTTTCTTACAGACATACTGTGACTTCCCTCTGTCTTTTCTACAAATATATTCATGGCAATTGCTCTGACAAGCTACTTTCATTGGTACTCCAACTGCATAAATTAAAGTGAGCTACTAGGTTGGCATCTTGGTCCCACTTTTTCACTGTCAAAACAGTTAAACTCCAACAGCTTTTTCTTTCTCACTTCCCGACAGTGGAACTCCCTTCCTCCTACTTACTTCTCTGATAGCTATAATCTTCAAATATTCAAATGTAATGACAATAAACATCTTCTGATCCCCATCTTTCTCTTTATCCTTTCCTTAAACACCCCTCTTTACTCTTACTTTCATTCACTGTAACCCCTTGCATGCTAGTGGCACCCCTGCCTTGCTTGGGGTGAAATGCTTAAAAAAAATATATAAAAAGGTGAACAATGATGTTAACACCAACTCGCAAATGACTATTTCATGCTTGAATGCAATGTTCAGGACTGCAACAGACTGTCACTTGTTGGTGTTGACAACCATGTCTACTTTTATATTTACATACACTCTATCCTTTATATTGACCCTTTTACTTATAAATATAGTATACATTAAAACTATTTTTTTATCTCTCTCTCTCTCTATATATATATCTCTATATATATATATATATATATATATATTATAATAAGAATTGGAAATGGACAAGGTCCCATAATTTATTTATTAAAGACATTTTTATGTTTAACGTTGTTTTTTATAGATACAAGTATTTAAGTAAATGCTCTGTTTATGATAAACAGTATTAAATAACATTTACAGGCCTGAATGTCCAAGAAATTTTCATAGGAAATATTCGATTTCTTTGACAGGATTTGAATCTGCATCCCATAATGGAACCGCTACACGCTGACGGCTCACTGCTCGGGCTACAAAGAATCGTTTGGTAGACAAGGTTGAATTTACTGCTTATAAACTTCAATCATCCATGAATCTCATTACATTCATAACTGTTTCCATGTATCAAAAAATGTAAAACAAATGACGCTATATATTAAGAAATGGACAAGGTCCGACAATTATTTGATAAAGACATTTTTATGTTTAAAAAACAACGTTAAACATAAAAATGTCTTTAATAAATAAATATATATATATATATGTATATATATATTTTCACTGTTGAAACAGTTCAATGTAATTGCCTCTTCTACTCCAACAGCTTCTTCTCTCTCACTTCTCAATAGTGGAACTCCCTTCTTCCTACTTGCTTCCCTTATAGCTATAATCTTCAAACATTCAATTGTATTTTCATTCAACATCTTCCGATCCCTTAATCCTGATCCCCATCCTGATCCCCATCCTTCTCTTTATCCTTTCCTCTTAACTCTCACTCCCACTCTCTGTAACCCCTTGTGTGTTAGTGGTGCTCCCACCTTGCTTGGGGTGAAATGTTTAAAAAAAAAAAAAAGGTATTTTAATTATTTACACTATTTATATCATTTGTCCTCATCTTTATTGCCATATTCTTGAAGTTTCAGCCTTTGTATGCTCCAGCCATCTTCAGTTGATAAAAGCGTTAGTTGAGTAATCCAAAAAGTGACTTGACCCAAAGCGTTGCAAGTTCAATACCTGACCACAACAGAGGGAACAAAAACTTGGAAAGTCGAGTTACTAAATGTGGATTAACTGCAACTAAGATATCCAAAAGTGGTATGGCACGTGGAATTAGAATAATCTGTCTCCATGGACTAAATAAAGGGTTTGGTTTGAAATGCCAATGTATATTACCTGAAGATGATCAGAGTGTACAATGGGTGAACCATTGTGAACATAAACCATGAGGACAACAGTCCAAATGATGTAAGTAGTGTAAATAGTATATATACATTTACAAGGATTATTTTTATAGGACTTTTGCATTGAAAATGTTGATGAATTTTTAAACTTGAATACGTTTTTAATTTATAACTAATTATTAATAAATAAATATTTATTAATAAATAAATTAATTAATATTTATTATTAAATAAATAAACTGAAGCATACTTCAATAAAGAAAAAGTTAAATATCATGTCATGGTATTGTAATTGAATAAAAAAAATGTTCAGTAAAAAGTCAGAGTATTTAAATTGATTTTATTCTGATAAAGATTACAGTCAATGAAAAACTTCTGAAAAATTCCAAGATCCTCCTCCCACCTCTTGTTAAGAACCCCTGCTCTATGATCATAAAAATCACCTGCAGCTCTACCTAAAGGACTATGGTCCACTGTGCTTTTTATATCTTGGCAAAATGAAAAGCTAAGAAAAAAGATACTGTTTGAGTTTCTCTCTTAACCCTAGAACACTAACCATCAATTAAAGTTACACCACTACTAACCATGGGTATATCATACCCGATTTTGAAAATATCAAAAAAAAATATAGTAAATACAAATCTTTATTTGAAATATTTTACACGCAGTCACTTCAAACTTTGTACTTTGAGTTAACATTAACAGGAACTGAAAAACATATTATTTAGGTAAGAAAATCAGGTACTGAAAATTGTAATTAAAAATAGGAAAATTTGCGCTGGGTACTATATACCAATGGTTAGTGTTCTAGGGTTAATAAAACACTATATATATATATATATATATATATATATATATATATACACATATATATATATATATATAAAATTGAATTATTCAATAAAAAGTAAATAAAGAAAATGTAGAAAAGAATCAATGGAACAAGTCTGAGGGTGATGCTGTGCAAGTTTCTCTTAATGTCTAAAAAAAGGATAATCAAATAATCAGATTTATGACTCATCCCCAGTCACAACATTTGGAAGGAAATTTTGGGGTCACTTTAAATTTGTGCCTTCAAATTTATTTTTTTTAATCATTTCACCCCAAGCAAGGTGGGAATGCCACTAGCACGGTGGAGGTTACAAGGAGTAAAAGAAAAAACTGAATATAGGGAGGATTGAGGCAAGAAGAAAAGATGAACGGGATTCAAGTAGATAGAAGATGGTGATGTTGCATTTAAATTTTTTGAAGATTGTATTTATCAGGAAAGCAAGTAAACAGAAAGGAGTTCCACAGGTGGGAAGTCTGAAAAAAGAAATTGTTGGAATAGAAGTGTTGGTTGCATTTAGTTATTTCAAACATAAGTGAGTGGCCAATCTAGTAGCATGCTTAAATTCATGCAGTTGGGGCACTGGGTGGGGGAAGCTCATCAGAACAGTTGCCATGAAAATATTTGTAGAAAAGACAGAGGGAAGCCATGCCACATTGATGAGAAAGTGTCTGAAGACAAGATGCTAAGTCAGGATCGATTACATTACAGTTCCTTCTTGACATTTGGTCAAGAGCCTCAGGATGAATAGCAGGAGCACCAGACCAGATATGACAGCAGTATTCAATGCATGGGTGAATGGTAGATTTTTAAATGTGCAAAATGGACTCCGAAGAGAAAAATTTTCTGGCATGACACAGTGACCCATTTTTTTTTTTTTTTTTTTTGCAGTAGCTGCATCTATTAATTTGATGTTTGTTCCTTAGCACATACATTGTACCCTGTGAATACATCACAAAAGCTGTTCTATTTTGATTCTGAAGAAAGATGGAAAAAATATTTCAGAAATA